CATGAAGGAGATAGCCGGGGCCATGTGAGCCGGGTCGATGACCACCTGGAGGGAAATGAAGAGGGCGCTCTGGGCAATGCCTGTTCCAAAACCGCTGGAAGTATGTTAGCTGTGAGTTACAGAATTATAAATTAAAGAGAAGCACATACCCGGGAAAGATGTAGAGCGACTCCCACCAGTTGGTATTGCCGTGCCATCTTAGCATCAGTGTAAGGTAGCTGGCGGATGAAAAGACCACAGCAAGGATTATAAGAAACTTATATCGCCCAGATCTATCCGACGGTTAGAATTGCTCGGCTGGTAGTCGAGCATGTCAACTGATACCTTTTAATGATTAGCCCGGAGAGTAGGCCTCCTACTGCGTTACCAAAAACAGCAGGGACTAAATGGAGCCCAGACTCAGTGTTTGACGTGTTCGCTGTCACTTGGAAGTAGAGTGGCACCGAGAACATTAGCTACCAAAGAGTTAGTCCAGTTGATGCAGGGGTGTACTCTGGGAATTCTTATGAAAAAAAAAACATACCGAAATTTGTGCCGCCGTCTGAAGCCCCATGATGAGGAATGAAAGAACCGCATCCCGTCTGTGAAAGATTTCAAGCGGAAGAATAGGCTCCTCTTCTCGGTTCTCTACCACAATGAAGAGAAACAAAAGTGCGCCGCTGGCGACAAAGAGACCGATGACAACAGGGTGCGACCAGGGCAACTTGGTGCCCCCGAGCTCGATGGGTAGGAGCAGTGCTAAGATAGTGGCAGCGAAGAGGAAGGAACCCTTGAAGTCGATACGGCTGAACTTGCTCCTTTTACTGGCCGGAGGGCTTGCACCGCCTGCTCCGTTGACTCCGTCGTCCTCGCTGTGAGTAGGGGCGGGGGGTAGATATATGGCACCTAGGAGGATGGCAACCCCTATGACGGGGACTTGACCGAGGAAGGACCTGGTGATGGTGTTATTGAAAGTCTTGGCTTTCCTCTTTCAAGATGAGCACTCACCAACGCCACCCGACTACGTCGGCAAGCCAACCTCCCAAGGGGCCTCCAACACTTCGACCTGTTGTGGCCACGACATTGACATAAGCTCGCCACTGAGCTACCTCTCTGAGCGGAAGCAAGTCTTGATCCATATCAGATAGCAAACAATGACTTCACCAGGATATAACGCTCCAAGGAGGGAACTCACCTGTGATCAAAACTGACACAAGCGCGGTCATGCCGGAGGTGCCTACGCCGGAAATGACTCTGCCCAAGATGACTTGCCACATGGTTTGGCCGGCGCCGCTGGGCAATGCCTATCAATATGCATTCTGTAGTTGAAGATTAGAAGCTAAGGTAGACTTACACAATTATGCTACTGGAGCGTTAGCGCGTCGTCATCCTTTTAAAATCATTTCAAGTGCTTTGACTTACCACCCTACGATGAGAACCAAATACGCGGTGATAACCAATAGCTTGCGGCCGTAGATATCGCTCAGTTTTCCGTACTAGGGTTCACAAAGGGGTTAGATTTTGCTATAGTCCAGGACGTTGAAGTGGGGGCAAACAAACCATTGTTTGTGATGCGGCTCCAGCCAAGGCGAAACTGGTAATCAGCCAGGCCGAGTCTCCCAGGTCGTTAAACTCAGAGGCAATGGCAGGATGTGTTGCCAGAAGCATTGAGCCATCGGCGTGAGCAACGAAAATACCTATTCCGCTTAATTAGCATAACCAATGGTATGCGTGCTATGCGTGAGATTTCCCGCAAAAGGGGGTCAACAAACCAATGAGTAGGACAGAGATAATTCTGGCTGCTTTGGCGCGTCCCTTTCCAGCTTCCTCTTCTTGTTCACTCGCGTTCAGGCTCGCCTCCTCTTCGCTGATGCTTTTTGCAGCACCACTTTGGTCTCTTGAATGTCCATTGGTCGCCAGAGTAGCGGCCGATCCGAATTGATTCACACTGGCGTCGCTTGTATGACCGAGAAGCGGCGATTCCTCTGTTGGCCCATCACCTGCCACAGGGGCTGCCGAGTGTTCATGCTGTACCATAATCACCTACCTAGCTATGTATATAATTTTCTGTCAATTTATCATGAACGGATGAGAGCATCCCAAAAAGAAGAAGAAAAAAATGAGCAGCAGCGGCTTGGCAACGACTGGCAGGCGTGAGACCTGAGCTGGGGGTTCAGGAGGCGGGAGGTGGAGACGACTCTGGACTCGTCGGGCAAACCTATTTTCAGGAAAGGAAGACTGATAACAGCGAAGCCCGACAAGCGGAGGCGGAGGTGGCGTCAATGGGGCATCCATGACCAACTCTGGGAATCTTCCTGGTGTCTGTAGGCCCAGACCCCGGAAGCGTCAAGTCGGAGTTAACAAAGGCAGTTGATAGTGGGGGAGCGGCGTGCCGATACGTGCGATGGACCCTCGCGTGATCACGACATCTCCAAGTCAATGTCGCGATGCCCGCAATTCCCTCACCAATGGCAAAGACACGACTGAAGCGCCAAGAAAAAAATTCGCAGCAGACCAGCATGCTGCAGGTTCCCCGGGCTGCTGAGACAACACGTTTTGCCCATGCGAGCCGTGGCGGGTTGTTGCAACATCTTTGCGGTGCCTCGGAGTCGGCGTTTGGCCCGCGTGTGGGGGTGCTGCATGCCGAAAGTAGTGGTCGTCGTCGAAAGAAGGTCGATAAATTGGTGCAATGGCGGAGAAAGATCGCGCAATCAACATGCAGGGGTCTCGATGCATCTCAACGCGGACATGGCACACACCTCGGTAGACCCCACGGGTACCGGCACCCTGGACTTGGACACCCTTCTGTAAATTGAATGAATGATATCTTGGGCCAATACCACGGTTCTCGGTATCCGTGCCGCTTGCTTTCCGTCTCATTGCTCCTGGTGTTGAGGTCAGTTGACAGGTACCACAACAGAGAAAATCCATTGAGTTGCCGCAAAGTGCCTTGGAGCCATGCGTTTCTTAGGACTCGCCTTGGCGGCAGCAGGTCTGCACCTGTGTGTCGCTGTTGCCCAAGATGGCAGCCAGAAACCACTCAACAGCAACAGCAACTACGGCCCAGGCCCAAAACCGGAAGGCACGTCCGGAAAGCAGCCAAACATCATCTTCATCCTGACCGACGACCAGGACTTGCACCTGGACTCGCTGAATTACACGCCTCTGATCAAGAAGCATCTCATCGACCAAGGCACCTTGTATAAGAGACATTACTGCACGACGGCGGTCTGCTGCCCGGCCAGGGTGTCTCTGTGGACCGGCAGATTGGCACACAACACCAATGTCACGGACGTAAATCCGCCCTATGGTGAGTATCTTCACTCTGGACAAAACACATCTCCTAACAAGGCACCAGGCGGATACCCCAAGTTCGTTAGCCAGGGGCTCAATTCAAACTACCTGCCCATCTGGCTCCAGGAAGCCGGCTACAACACGTACTACACGGGCAAGCTCTTTAACGCCCACACCGTCTTGAATTACCGTTTCCCTTACGCCGCTGGGTGGAACGGCTCCGACTTCCTGCTGGACCCCTTCACCTACAGCTATCTGGGCTCGCGCTTCCAGCGCAACACCGAGTCTCCACGCAGCTACGCCGGCCAGCACAGCGTCGACGTGCTGGCCGAGAAGGCCTACGGCTTCCTCGACGACGCCGCCAAGCACGATCGCCCCTTCTTCCTCGGCATTGCCCCCGTCGCGCCGCATAGCAACGTCGAGATTGCCAGTCTCGACGGCGACTTCGACGACATTGAGGACCTCGTCCGGTTCACGCCGCCTGTACCCGCGGCGCGCCATGCCCACCTCTTCCCCGACGTCAAGGTCCCGCGCACACCCCACTTCAACCCGGACGAGCCGTCGGGTGCCAACTGGGTGCGCAAGCTCAAGAAGCAGAGCCAGGAGAATGTAGACTACAACGACCACTTCTACCGGCAGCGCCTCCGCACACTGCAGTCTGTCGATGAGCTTGTCGACGGGCTGTTTGAGCGGCTCGAGGCGAAGGGACTGCTGGAGAACACCTTTATCATTTACACAACCGACAATGGCTACCATATAGGGCAACACAGGCTACAGCCTGGCAAGGAGTGTGGCTTCGAGGAGGATATCAACATTCCCCTCATTATTCGAGGCCCAGGCATCTCGTCGGGCAAGATCGCCGAGATTGTCACCACCCATGTGGATCTTGCGCCGACCATCTTGAATCTCGCAGGCGCTCCGAGCCGTGCTGACTTCGATGGCGAGGCGATCCCGCTGCACGAGAAGGCGATTGAAGCCGCGGCGACGACCAGACACGAACACGTCACTGTTGAGTACTGGGGCTTCGCGGCGAGCGAGGGCAAGCTGTTTGGCAAGGATGAGAAGCGTTTGACCACCAACAACACGTACAAGGCGCTGCGCATCATCGGCGAGGGCTACAACTTCTACTACTCGGTCTGGTGCACGAACGACCACGAGCTGTACGATCTCAAGACGGATCCGTACCAGCTGCACAACCTCCTGCACCCCGACGAGGAAGCCAAGGCTCCGGCCACCTTCCTCGGCGTGCCCTTCACCAAGGTCGTGTCCCGCCTAGACTCGCTGCTCTTCGTGCTCAAGTCATGCAAGGCCCAGACGTGCGTCCGCCCCTGGCACGCCCTGCACCCGGCCGGCAACGTGCTGAACCTGCGCGACGCGCTGTCCGACCGCTTCGACTACTTTTACGGGACGCAGCAGCAGAAGGTCAGCTACGACCGCTGCGAGCTGGGGTACATTATCGACGCCGAGGGGCCGCAGTTTGAGACGGACGGGCTGGTTTTTCGCCATGGTGTGAGGTGGGATGAGTGGGTCTAGCTTGGAAAAGGGGTAAGTAGTTATTTATGATAGACAGCTGGGTAGCAAACGAATCTTATGAATTCATGTAATGATCATGGTACTTTCTTTCTGTGAGCATCAGTTGTGTTGCCTTGTGAGCAGTGACTGTGTAAACTCGCCACCAAATATGGACCGAGTCGATGATGGGGGTTGTGAATAGGGGCAAAAAGAGATGCCTCCGCCAGGGATCGAACCTGGGACCTGTCGCGTCCACTTTTTCAAGATGTGAGGCGAACGTCATACCACTAGACCACAAAGGCTTCGATGACAAACTCGTCGGAATATGCACGCTATAGCGCCGCTGTCTTACGACCTGACGAGGCTATGCGGTGTATGTATGTCGCCGATGATAACTAACTTGAAGGTGCTACAATCAGTCACAGTGCATCGCTACCAGCCAGATGCAATTACATCGGATGCACGTCTGTTTGTAACTGGTAGCGGCGCTGTTTTGAACCAATAAAGCTGACAGATGCGGATGGAGTTTCCTATGGTTCGTCGAGGTCGGCGCCTACACTGTGCTCATGCAATTTGAGGGTGTTTTATTTGCTCAGGGGTTTGCAGTGAAGTCTTATCACCCGCATTTTAGAAGAGTGTGTCGCGTAATACCTTGAGGTGCGCTCAGCACCATTCTACTAAATGTTAACAGACGGTCTAACGAGTATCTTGACGGACTCGTCAAAGTCCGGGCCCTTCGTTCTCTATATTAGTGACGCCCTGCCCCTATTACCTCTATATTTCTGCGGAACCTGCTCACATGAACGTCCAGATGCCATTAGTCCCTGGGAATCCGACGAAGAATTGAGATAAATCAGCTCGTTAAAGAGTTGACGACCATCAAGTCTAACCGGGATAGCGTATCGGGTGGACTGAGACAAACTCTCGCAAACAAGTTGGACAGGTATAAAAAGAGGGCGACCGCGGCCCGTGCAAGCATCCGTGATCCTGAGAGCGCCTTACTATTATAGCCTATTTCCGCAACCCCTGGGTCCCCGGTACACATTCGTATTTCACTTTGTCATGATAGAAAACACAGAGCACTGTGATGCTGATCGGGTCATCGCTCGTTACTTCCGCCAACATCACCCCGACGACGACCCGCCTGTCACCATGGTAGATCAACTGTGGCTCTGGATTCTCGATGATAGTGAGTAAAGGGTGCTAGAAATTGAAGAGAAAATCATGTGTATCATCGATTTGACAGACTAACACTGTAGTGAAACACAAACACTGTCTTCACGATTGTCACAATCATTTTTCTCCCAGCCTCATTCATAGAGGCCTTCTTAGCATTGCCAATCGCTGAATTTCTGCCGGTTGGCGACGCTGGTGATGAACCTCAGCTGGAGCTGGGGTTTACCGTCAAGAATACGGGTAGGATACCTTGTGTTTCTCCACGAGGACGTTTTTGCTCTAGTAATACTCGTTAGCTAACAAGACGTCACCGTTCTGTCCGTTCTAGCCATGGTTACGGCTGCAATGGCCATACCGTTCATTATCTTTGCGCTCTACGTTAAGTCATTGCTTGTAGTCCAAGCCTTCCTCGAGCTTCTCTATAGCTTGTTTTTGGACACACTGCGGTTTCTTGTCAAGTTCCAATGACGTCGTGTCAATCTCTGGATCAGAGAGTTTCGCAAGGCGAGGAAGAAAGCAAGGGAGGACGAGACAGAGTGGAAAAACGACGCTATGTGGCTGCGTATATCCTACGAATGATTGCTCGGAAGTTGAAACGGCGGGAGGAAGAACCTGTTGATGAACGTCAAGTCGCTATGTCCGTTATGAGGATCGAGATCTAGTCAAAAGATAGCGATGTAGATGGGATGGAGGGAACACGGACGCAATTAGACATGGCTTAACTATTTAGTCGGGCACAGCTATTCAATACATTTGCCACTTTTCGGGGCCAGACGGCTACAGTTTTGCAACTGCCTTCGTCTCTTGCAGCAACTCATTCCCCAGCTGCGCCATCTCAAACTTGCGCACCTTCCCGCTTCCCGTCAGGGGTGCCGTGGCAGGCACGCCTTCGTGGCCGAGCCAAAAGACGTGGGATGGCGCCTTGTGCTTTCCGAGTTGACGCCGAACCCAGTCACGGACCTCGTCCCTGTCAGGGCGTTGGTGGCCCGCTTCAAGGCCGAGGAAGGCAGCGACGACCTCGCCGTAGTGCACGTCCTTGAGTCCCACAACAACAGCCAGCGTGACGGCTGGGTGGGCCAGTAGCCGCTCCTCAATTTCGAGGGGGTATATGTTTTCGCCACCTGCACAGTTTTTCTACGTTAGCATTTTGGATTTTCAAATCAATAGGATGACTCACCCCTGATGATGATGTCCTTGAACCTCCCGGTAATCGAGCAATACCCCCTCTCGTCAAAGACGGCCTCATCACCAGTGTGCAGCCACAAGACACCCGCCTCATCCCGCATCATCACCTCGGCCGTCTTCTCCGAGTTATTCCAGTACCCGGCCTGCAGCTGATACCCGCCGATGCACAACTCGCCCCTGGTCCCAACAGGAACAATCTCGCCATCGCGATCCACAATCTTGGCGTGGGCGTGCGGCATCAGCGTCCCGACCGTCGTCAGCCGCGTAGCGATTGGATCGTCGGTAAACGCATTGAAGCACGTCGGCGACGCCTCCGTCAGCCCATAGCTCGACGTGAACTCGCTCATGCCCAGCCGCGCAACCAGCTGCTCCATCAGGTACCTCGGCACGGGCGCGCCGGCGATGATGCCGGTGCGCAAGCGTAAGTGGGACGCCCGGAGGGCCTTGGCCTCGGGCAGCGCCAAGATGCTGTCGAACATGGCGGGCACGCCGTGGACGGCGGTGCACCGCTCGTCGACGATGGCGCGCAGCGTGGCCGGCGCGTCAAAGATCTCGGCCGGGTACACGATGGTGGCGCCGTGCGTCACGACGGCCATGAGCCCGAGCACGAGGCCGAAGCAGTGGAAGAGGGGCGGCGGGCAGCACAGCACGTCGTCGGGAGTCAGCCGCATGCGGTCGCCGATGAAGCGCGCGTTGTTGACGATGTTGTGGTGCGTCAGCATGGCCGCCTTGGGCAGCCCCGTCGTGCCGCTCGTGAACTGCAGGTTGCACACCAGGTGCGGGAGCACCTTGCGCTCGGCGTGGTGCAGACGCGCGGCGTCGACCTTGAAGCCCTGCGAGAGGAGGTCTTGGTACGTGGCGTGTCCATACGACTCGCCCCGGAGGATGACGACCTTGGGAGTCTTGGCCGTCTTGACCGTGAGCTGGGAGATGAGCGGCGCGTTGTCGAGCCGGCCTATCCTGTTGGTGGTGAAGAGGATCTTGCAGTCTGAAAAGTTGATGGCGTATTGCGCCTCGGTCGGGGTGTATGTATTGTTGAGGATGACGAGGATGGAGCCTATCCGCGTCGCCGCAAAGAAGACGGATGCGTATTGCTCGCAGTTACCCGCCATGATGCCCACCCTGTCGCCAACCCCGATGCCCATCCCCAGCAACGCTCGTGCCAGCAGCCCGCTGTGGTGGTTGATTTCGTTGTACGTCCATCTTGCGCCCGTCCACGGTATTACAAGTCCCTCTCGTGTCCCGTGGTGAAGACATTGAAGGTTGAGCAGCTCTCCAAGGGTTAGGTCGACCAATGGGGGGTCGGTAGGGCCGTGGAGAAGCGACAGTCTTTGAGGTTGTGGGATGACAATATCCTCAATTTTCTGTGTTGGGATTTGGGTCGCCATGCTGATGTGTCTGATCCCAATTCACCCCTTCGAGATCCTCTCTCACCGCACAGAGCAAAATGGCATACAGGGGTATCAATGGGGACAAAGAGTATAATGTTTGATCTTGGGATGGGATGCGTCTTGCGAAGAGGGGGTGATGGGGCCCGTTGTGGAGGCCATTGCATGCACCCGAGGACGCGAGAACCGCAATGCCGAACCCGGCCAGGCAGTCATGGCGGGTAGTCATGGTGGGGAGCAGCAATGTTGGCCGAGGGGGCCACGCTCATGGTTCATTTCAGCTAGTTTGGAAAATTTGACATGCAAGGTGGGTGCCAGTTCCCAATGTTTCCACCCCCTAGCCGGCCTAACGATCATCGTTGGGTACCGCATGGGAATGGAGGGGGGCAAGGGGGTCTTCAAGGGGGGCACTGCCACTGCCTGTTGATCTAATCAATCTGGTAAGATGGATTAGAACAGCCAAGTACATTTTTTCTTGTTTCTGTCTGTTTATCTTCCAGGGCGCTGCTTGACCGATGTGGCAAATTGGCCGAGTCTACATGATGCAGTCATCGGCGAGCAATGATCGTGGTCGGTGAGATGGAGAGTTGTAACAGGGGCATGGGATGCTGCTCGAATACCATCCTCAGCTACATCACGACATGGGAAGGAAGAAGACCACGACCCAATAACAGCCCAGAACAGGACGAAAAGTTTTCCCTTGAGAGCCTCCACTTGGCATGGTAGCATTGGGCACAGGGGGGCGTGTGTCCTGGATCGACTAGCTTGATCTGATAACTCGAATGCAGCAGTGGCATGACCATTGTGTAAATGCCTCACGATCGTGTTCGGATCTGATAAGATTATTCATGCCAAGCCTGCTCCCCATGCCCATCTCCCTCATCAGGTCCTAGGCCGGCGCCTTACATTGGAATTTGGAACATTGCAGAATGCCCTAGGAGGTGATTCTTATACCCTGCTCGTTTGATTTGTTTTTGGCCCTGGTGGAGGAAAAGTGGTAATAGAGTCCAGCTGGTGAATAAATGAAAAGAAATTATTTTTGTAAAACGGAATTGCAACAGCAGCACACCTGGTTGACTCGGCCGAGGCGACCGTGGGCTCTCTCCGCTCCGAGGTCGGGTGCCAAGGATCCGGCAGGGCCAGGGGTTAGTGAAAAAATATTTATCAGATCCGCTTTCTGTTCTTTGGCGTCCGAGTAAAGTTATCAGATCCGAGAGAAAAAGCACGCCATCCAGCCGCCCTGCACCCTGCTGCCCCCCCTGTTCATTACATGTACCCCTTTTTATTGGCCATCTAACCAGAACACCAGCGACGCTAGACTTTGCTTGGAACATCCCCCTCCACCCCTCAGAGGAGTCCAGCCGACCGAAAACCGGTTTGGGCGGGGAGTGATCAATGGCCGGGACAGGGACAGGGGGGGGCATCTTCCAGAATCCATTGTGCTGCCGACGCCTTGGGTTTGCGATATCGAGCCCATGGATTCCCTCCCGAGCGTGCCTCCACCGTCCCGGACAGCCCTTGGAAAGGTGGTTGGTATGCATGTGAGTCGGAGG